TGTGGTTTACAGATGACACTACCTTGCTTGCTGAAAATGAGGAGGAATCGAAGCATTTGCTGATGAAGATCAAGGATTGTAGCCTTCGGTATGGATTACAACTCAATGTAAGGAAGACCCACATCTTCACTAGAGCAATAGGTAACATCATGATAAATGGAGAAAAGGTTGAAGTAGTCAAGGATTTTGTTTTACTTGGATCCACAGACAATGCTCCTAGAAGCACCAGTCAAGCGTCCAAAAGATAAGTTGCATTAGGCAAATCTGCTACACAAAACTTCTTTAGAGTATTGCATAGCAAGGATGCTTATTTGAGGACTAAGTTACACTTGACCCAAGCCATGGTGTTCTCAGGTGGCAAGACTTTGTCTTGAATGCTTTGTACATGTTTTTAGGAGAGACCAGTCTCTGGAGATGGACATCATGTTTGGTAAAGTGGAGGGGTGGCAAAAAAGAGAAAGGCCATTCACTGTATGATACTCACCTTCCTGACATGATAACTGAAAACAAAGTGGGTGCATAAGCAAATGTGCTGAAGAAAGCTGATGGTGCCTGACTATTAAAAGATATAGAGTCTGGGGTCTTAGAGACTTGTAGTTAAACAAGTGGCCATCTAGCAGGGAAGCAACAACACACACATGGAAGAAGCACACCAGCCTGTGTAATCATGAGGTGTCAGTGGGAAGATGTATTAGAAGTTCAAAAACAAGCAACTAGGTTGATGTGATATGGCAGAGACCCAAAACCCACCTGTACGATAATTGGACAGTCCCTCTCAGAAGGGCTGCACAGAAGGGATGATAAATCCAGTATGCAGTAGAGCACTGATGAATCACATAACTATTCTTTGCTTCTTTAATATTTCCTCCCCTTACTATGAAAGCTTATGTTTTACCTCATTAATATTGTTAGACCTACTTATCTTCATTTGTATAATTAAGATCGTTCAATTCAGAAATGCCAGGACAGATGACCCTTCAGAAACAGCAATGGGAGTAATGATTCCCTGAGGACATGGGAAGAGAGAGTGGGGGAAGAGGGGAAGAGGGAGCTGACAGTGATGATGACTGTCTAACCTCACTCAAGGGAAGCAAATAACAGAATTTTAGGTGAATGGATATATTGGATGGGGTAAATATGGCTGTAAATATACATACATAATAATACTATATAACAATAATAAACAACAAGGGTCAGGGGTGGGAAGATGTGGAGAGAGGGGACAAAGGGAAGCTGATATCAAAGAGTTCAAGAAGAATGATAATGTTTTGAAACTTATTGTAGTAGCAATTATACAATTATGCTCCGTTCATTTGAATTATGGAATGCTATGACATCTGTAAGAGCTCCCAATAAAACGATTAATAAAAAATAAACAAAAAAAGGCAGAGGGAGAGAGAGAGAAAGACCATGGATGAGATGGATTGACATAGTGGCTGCATCAATGGGCTCAGGCATGGGAACAATGGTGAGGATGCTGCAGGACCATGCAGTGTGTCCCTCCCTTGTGCATAGGGTTGCTATGGGTTGGAACTGACTCAAAGGCACCTAGCAACCAACCCCCTCGGCATTCTCTACTTTTCCGCTGGGTTTGGTCTTTGGTTCCAATGGTCACACGCCTGCAGCTCATGGTGATGAGCTTTATTAGGGAAGTAACAAGTTACCAATGAATATCAGGAATGATCTGGATATACTTCTTCACATAGGACAGTGTCCTTTCAGCTGTGTTCAAAGACATTGCAGGCTCTAGGCCTCTCAGTCATACAGCCTCTTTGGACTCTGCCAGGCGAGGGCAAAGCTCTTTTAACTCTGACAATTAATTGTCCACTTAACCAATGAACCTCAACCCAAAGGCACTCAGCTCTAGCTCCATGCGGTCAACTAACTTAGCTCTTCTCCCTCCCCACCCTTGCCCGATTAAGTGCCTGAAGGCAATTCACTCCACCAGCAAGTCTCTTGCCTGTACACCTTCAGCGTTCTCATTCCATGGGCCAGCAATCCCATCCAAATCTCCTGGTTCTGCTGCCTCTGTTACCCTTGATTCTCTGCCACTGTTCCTCTCTGTTTCTCACAGTCTGCAGTGTCATATGCACTCTGTCTCCTGGGTCAAGGGATTTCAATGTAGGGATCTCATTGTCCAGAAAACGATCTTAACTCCTGGCTCTTCTTTGTTGATGATAGTGAGGTACCCCTTTTCATGCTCTGGGTGGCTCATTTTAAGCCTAGAGGGATAGCAAAACTGACCAGTCCCTTGAGAAGGGTTCCATATACTTCATTTGCATGGTCCCACTCCACAGGGGTGCCATGCACCTTGTTTAAATTATTAGCCCCTTGTTAGGTCACAAGCACTCACCTTTGCATAGTCCTACACAGTCATTTGGGGAGAGTCACAAAAACAGTGGCTAGAGGGCCCATACGAAGTTAGCACAGCACCATAATTGGTTTAGCCTATTTCCAGCCTCACAAACCATTGCCGGGAGCAGTTCCGCTCTCCTGAAGAGTCCGCCAGGGGTCAGAGTCATCTTGAAGGCAGTGGGCTTTATTATGCATGTTAACCGTGGCTCATCGTTTGCAATCCAAATGTTTTTGTCTAATCTTTCACTTCACTTTTGCTTACAGTATATCTTAAAATAGATTTTGTGCAACTAAACCTCTTAGTTTTTTATTTCTCCCTGATTCCGAGTTTCTTTCTATCATTTTCTTTCAAGCTAAACATAAAAATGTCTTTCTTTATTTTCTGATAAGGCTTTTATAATTTTGTTTTCTATTAGTTCAATGGCCTATTTTGAATATTACTCATGGTAGATAGTTTGGTGGGTGGTTGTGAATTTAGTGAGAGAAGTTTCCTTTGTGGTGTAAAAATTCCATGTACCTGGGCTACTGTGTCCTTCAAAGACATTTTACATTCGTTTCTTCTCAATTTTGGAGTGGTTACTGGCCCAAGAACCACATTTATTTGGGGATTCCCAGAGAAAACCCCAATTATGAGTGTCAGGCTGTCCTGGGGTTTTGTTTCAGGGGAAGCTTCCTATGTTTTCCAGAGCAGATACAAGAAGAAGTTTCTCATTCATCTGTCTTGCTGGTGGGTGGATCTCCCCGTGACCCCTACTACTCACACATTTACTAAAAGGGAAGACTCTTGAGGGGTAATTTTTACATGAAGATTTTAGATTCAAATCCCTGCCTCTTGCAGGCACAAGCCCCATCTAGGATTTAAATGCCAACGTGGCAGTATTCTGCTTCCACACTCACCCTTCCTCCAGGGAGCAGCCAAGGCTATGACAGGTTGAACACCGTAGTTTCACTTCCCATTTAGTCTGTGATGGGGGAATTTCCTTTCTTTCGTGTTTAGTTGAACATTTGGAAAGTGATCTACCATTCAACTAGCATTTATAGGTATTTAACCTGAGAGATGTTTCACAATTTCTGGTCTACCACACTTGCCAATACTAGTATTCCCCGATTCTGTGGGAGTGTGATTTCACATTTGTTCTTTGAAAAATTTTTATCAATTTAATGGCACTTTGAAAGCAAGGGCATCTCAATACCAGTGCTCCACTCACCACCATGGATGATTAATTACTTTTCTGATGGAAAAACGTGCATATCATATTCAGCATAGCAATAAACTCTAAGAATACTCCAGACTGTGGACAGAGATTGACAATATTGATTTTCTTTCTATTTTTCTGCATCCCGGGGTTGTATAATTCTACGGTTGTATTTCTCTTGCAGTTAAACCTTTCAACGCTTCCAGTTTTGTTTCCAGATGTCCCACAGTCATATTTTGTGCCATCCGTTTCTCCTTATCTGTGCTCTGATGCCTCATTAAAGAGAAGAGACTTTAATAATAAACTCTTGGAGAAAAGCACAATACACAGACACTGCAAGAGTTGGAAGGAAGCTCTAGAATTGACTTAACATCCTATGCTTTGCCTTCTCCTTGCGCACAACTCCCTGTCTAATGGGGAAGTGTTTGCAAGGGGAACTAAGGGGTGATGGGAAGTGGGTGGTGAGGGGCACCCCAATCACGGGAAGCGGCGAAAGTTGCCTTAAATAAGGTCAGAGGAAGTTCATAAGTCAGCAAAAACAAGATTCAGGAACCTGAGCGTATGCCTGGACTCTGACTTTCTTCTATCACTCCCCCTCTAATCAGTCATCTAGTCCAAGACATTGGCTCTCTGTCTTCTCATGCATTTACCCCTCTTTTCCATCACCCTGTCTCAACTCAAGCCTGTATCTTTTCCATCAAGGACCACATCCGGGGAGACCACCTTTTCCTCTTGCTCAGATTGTACTGCCTGCAGCCCACCATAAAGGCTGCTCTGAAAATACAAAAGGATCATATTATAATCAAAGTGAAAACATTCTTATTAGTTTGGGAGTAGTTAGAACATTAGGGGTAGTTCTCAGTTCACAACTCCGCTCTGTATTCTGAACTACGTTGAGAAATGAAAGTCAGAGAGGAATGTACAGTGCATGGATTTCTCTTTATAGACAGCCTTTCTAGCTTGGCCTTGGGTTTACAATTCTGCCAAAATTGACTGGTTGAATGGCTTGCTCTGTGGTTAGTCTATTGTCTATTGCAGGGGTCCTCAAACTTTTAAAACAGGGGGCCAGTTCACTGTCCCTCAGACCCGTTGGAGAGCTGGACTATAGTTTAAAAAAAAAACAACCACTATGAACAAATTCGTATGCACACTGCACATATCTTATTTTGAAGTGAAAAAACAAATGGGCAAAAACACCCACCGGGCAGGATAAATGTCCTCGGCAGGCCACATGTGGCCTGCAGACCGTAGTTTGAGGACGCCTGGTCTATTGTATACAATTTAGAGGATTGTATACACCTACAGGGGTTGACCAATTTGCTATTCAAATAGTAGTGCATAAAAGCACACAATAGGATTAACTAATTTGACAATCAGTTGTGCCATCCTTCAAAATTTATGTAAGAATCAATCCCATAAAGGTTCAGAAGGGGCTTCATTACCATCAAGATGCGTCTGGAGCACAGTATATCCTTTGGCCACACTGTCCCGCCTTGAGAAATGTCAAGACCTGAACAGAGAACTGTAATACTGAAGATGCATGAGGCATCGAGAAAGGGCAGCAAGAGAGAATTGGCACAGCTGTACAAGTGGCAGAAACCAATAGACTGAGGCAAGATGGTGTGGTGGACTTGTCTATCCATAGCGAGATAGAAAGGCTCGTCAGGCAGGAGGCTTGCTGGCAGTGGTTGCAGCAGCTACCAACGTATGGCCTCAGAAGATTCTTTGAACCCCTCAACTAAATATTCCTCTGTTTAATTGTGGGCTCTGGTGGAGATGAGAGCTGCTACTGGGAAAAAACAATTCCTTTCTATTCAATTGGTATGGAGGGGGGAAAATTGTTGATTGTGTAAGAGAGCCCTCATAGAAAATATGGTCCATGGGAAGGAATCCATTTAAAGTGGGTACAACTTTCTCAACGATCTCCAGGCTCATTTTCTGATGAACCTTCTATGATCATGTCATGAGGAGTCTGCCTGTTGCGAGGATGGAAGGAGAGAACGGAATGGAGAGGCTCACTAAACATCCACCATCCATGGGGTTTGCGCCTGACAATGGCTTTGGCTGACGAGTGTATTTGCAACTTGCCTTGTGATTGTCACATGCATAAGGATTAGTTGTATGTTTGATGGGGGTTGAATTATTGGAAGAGGGTTAGAAAAGATAGGGAAAAAGTGAGAAACATTTCAGAGTAATACAGATTTCAAGATTGTGAGCTCGGTACTAACTTCTGAGCAGCCCTGGCGGCATGCTGGGTTCCGACTGAGCTGCTAATTGAAAGGTCAGCAGTTAGAATCCACCAGCTGCTCCAAGGCTGAAAGATGAGGCTTTCTCTTCCTACGAAGCTTTCCGGTCTCAGACACCCACCAGGGCAGTTCTCCTCGGTCCTATAGGGTCACCGTGAGTCAGAATCCACTTGAAAGCAAACATAAACGATTTAATCAATCAATTTAACTGATAAATTTTAATTAATTAAACTTAACAAGTTAATAAAATTAATTAATAAGTTAATTAAAAAAAAACTAACCTCTGCATTTTAGCCCTTCATAGCTCCAACTAGTGAGTCAAATTTATCTTTGTCCTTAGTCTCTGGTGTACCAGCCGCCCAGCCACTGTAGGGTCCTGTAGAGTAGGCCCTAAATGGACAATAGAAACATCAAAAATCTCTCCTATTTCCCTGGGATAATCAGTTCCAAGGGCATGTAATATCTACTCTGGACTCTGCTTGGTTGGGTGAACAGGCCCTCCCTTCCCTACATTTTGAGAACCTCCCATGCAGGGAACAAACGAACACTTGGAAGAGGACATGCAGACTGGACAGAAGACTGCTTTGGGAAGAATTGTTCTCCTGGCTGTCATGTAGAAGAACCCACTCAGTCTATCAAAACTGAACTTAAGAAAAAAATGTTTTTAAAGGAAACCTGCTCTCTGTTTCACTGCCATCCAGAGTGTGGGCTTTTCCATCTTTTTCCATACTGTCGTCTCATACGACTTTCAGGATCAAGAGATTCCTGGCCAAGAAAGAAAGGCATAGTGGGCCCATTCCCCAGTGGATTCGAATGAAAACCGGTGATAACATCAGATACAACTCCAAGAGAGGACATTGGAGAAGAACCAAGCTGGATCTGTAAGGAGCCTCCCAGGAGATGGCACGTGTGGCCGCATTTGCCCAGGCGCCCTAGCGGCCTGTCATGCCGAGTTTAAGACTTTGCCACCATCTGATAATTGAGCATGTATTGGTGAATATCTGATTTCTTTCTTAGTTTTTATGTTTCCTCATCAACATGTTAACTATAAATCAAGTAAGGCCATTGGCTTGAGAAAGGAAAAAGGGAGAAAGTAATGCATCTGGATCCAAGAAGACACCAGTCTATGTAAGTGAGAACGGATGGGCTCAACTAAAATTTCCTCACACAGGTAGATATACAAGAAGGATTTTAAAAGTTCCTGGGACACTAGAATGAAAAGATAATGGAATTTTCCCATGAATTTTTTAATTGGAATCTACTTCACATATCATACAATTTAATCATTTGATTGTATTAAGATTTGTGCAGTCACCACCACAATTTCAGAATATTTTCTTCTCCTACTCACTGCCATTAGCTCCCCATCCCCCTACCTACCACGGCCATGCCCCTAGGCGACTCTCAATCCAGCTGCCGTCGGTATAGATCTAACTATCCTGGTGCCAGGAACTTTTTGAACCCTCTCCTAGTACATGAAACAAAGACATTAGAATACAGTCGTTTGTCTGGTCAATTTTTGGGTAGGGTCACAAGTAATATGGATTAGGGGTGGGGATTGGGTTTCTATTGGATAATTGACTATAAAGAGCCACAACCACTGATTTCGGGAACCAATTACAGGAGTTCTCACAGTTTTACAGCTTTCAGGAGGGATCAGGTGAAAATTTGCACAACTTTAACCTAGATATCTCCTAACTATGTGAAGGTTCATCTTGGTACCAGGTTCGCATTTCCTGGGAACAGCTTACTAATCAAAACTTTTTAAGTGGTCTGGGAAAGTTCAGATTAGACGGTTTTCAAGCTTTCAGCCAATTCTCTTATTATATAATTGTCATGAAGAAATATTCCTTTGGCTCCTTTTATACCCAAGACAACTGGGGCAAGTTCCCCTTCCTTTGGATGCATTTCCTTCATGTTTTTACTTAACCAGCGAGGGAACTTATTTTTTAATTTTATGGTTTGTAGCAATTAACAGAGCCAAATAATAAGAGCTTGGCAGGAAGTTGGAGAAAAGAACAGTCTAATTTAACAAAATCAGAGTTAAATTTAATCACAAAGTTTTGGCTTTATGAATCTCTCCTTTTTACATAACTAATAGGGCTTTAAATTTTCAATATTGACTGCTTGAATGTCCCCGTGGTTTTGAAAAATTTAGGGCACAGTCAGAAGAAACATTGCTTCATTACTTCTTTAACTCAAGGTCAGCACACATTTTCTTTTTCTTTATTCTTTATTCTTATTTTTAAACTTTAAAAAAATCATTTTACTGGGGGCTCATACAGCTTTTAGCACAATCCATACATACATCCATTTTGTCAAGCACATTTGTGTATTTGTTGCCATCATCATTTTCAACACATTTTCTTTCTACTTCAGCCCTTGGTATCAGCTCCTTATTTTTTTCCCTTCCCTCTACCACCCTGCCTTCATCCCTCATGAACCCTTGATAATTTGTAAATTATTATTATTTGTTCATGTCTTACACTGACCGATGTCTCCCTTCACCGACTTTTCTGTTGCCTGTCCCCCAGGGAGGGGGGCTATATGTAGATTCTTGTGATCGGTTCCCCCTTTCTACCCAACCTATCCTCCGGCCTCCCGGTATCACTACTCTCATTATTGGTCCTGAGAGGTTTATTTGTCCTGGATTCCCTGTGTTTCCGGTTCCTATCTGTACCAGTGTACATCCTCTGGTCTAGCCAGATTTGTAAGGTAGAATTGGTATCATGATAATGGGGGTGAGGAATCATTAAAGAACTAGAGGAAAGTTGTACATTTCATCTTCAGCACACATTCTCTGTAAAAGCCTAATATCCCAGGCCTTGCTAGGTTCTGTTGTAACCACTCACTCAACTCTGTTGTAACAGGAAATCTGCTGTTGACCATCTATAAATGATGGGTACAGCTCTGTCCTGTTATACTTTACTTATAAAATAAGCAAACAGGCCACTGGCCAACTCACAGGTCATTGTTTAAGAATTCCAACAATTGCAGCCCTTGATCTTGTTTTTATAAATCATTTTATTGAGGGCTCTTACAGCTCTTAAACCAATCAATACATCAATTGTATCAAGCACATTTGTACATAGGTTGCCATCATCATTTTCAAAACATTTTCTTTCTATTTGAGCCCTTGGTATCAGCTCCTCTTTTTTCTCTCTCTCCTCCACCCTCCCACACTCATGAACCCTTGATAAATTATAAATTATTATTATTTTCGTATCTTACACTATTCATTGTCTCCCTTCACCCCCATCTCTGCTGTTCCTCCCCCTGGAGCAGGGGACATGGGGTGTGGGGGGAGATCAGATGCACAGGCATTCCCTCCCCTGAGGGCAATCAGCTGCCAGACTGCTGTCTCATCCCTCCACAGGGGTGGGCCTGCTCCCTGCCCCTGGGGACAATGGACAGGCTCCTGTAGGCGGAGTTTTCACCCTACTGATAATGGTTCCTATGGAGACCCAGAGACCACCCCCTAGACCACCCTCTCATTACTGTGTAACTATAGTGCAGCCCCTCCCTGTGATACATGTCTCCACCTGTAATTAGGGGCTGGCATGCCCCCAAAAGAGATATAGGCGTGGGTCAGCAATAGAGGGCTCTCATACCTCTCTGACTCTCTCTGGCTCCCCTCTCTTCCCCCTCTCCCTTGTTCCCTGGCCCTCCTTCCCTTCCCCCTCTCTCCACGTGGACCACCAAGCTGGGCTGAGGTGAGCAATGCTACCATGTAATGTGTCTGACTGCATTATTGTAATATCTCTCATGCTCTCGATGACTTTAATATAATACTTATATACCTCAACCGTACAATTGTGCATTACTGAACCCAGAAGTAGTATTACTGAACCCACTATTAATGGTGGGGGCTGGCCCCTCACCCCACTCCCCCCATGCCATTTTAATTTAATACTACAATGGGGATTATACGTCAATTAATCCAATCGGTTCCCCCTTTCTCCCCTTTCCCCTACCCTTATGGTATCGCTACTCCCACTGTTCCCAAGAGGTTTATCTGTCCTGGATTCCATATGTCCAGAGTTCTTATCTGTAGCAGTGTTAATGCTCTGGTCTAGCCGGATTTGTAAGTAGAACTGGGGTCATGGCAGGAGGGGAACATTAAAGAACTAGAGGAATGTTGTATTTCATTGGTGCACCTTGACTGGCTTGTCCATTCTTTATGACGTTTCTGTGAGGAGATGTCCAATTGTCTGCAGATGGGCTTTGGGTCTTGTGGTAGTTGCATAACCTGGTTTCAATTTGAGGATTAACAGTGTAGCAGTGAAGTTTAACCTGTCCCAGTGGAGTTTAGCCTGTCCATCAGGATGAAGGCAATGAGGCCTCTGTGTGGGTATGGCCTTCTACTGAGGATTCTGGGAACTCCTGTATTCCTCCTTGGAGGTGGGAGACACTCTCTCACAGTCCCGAGAGGTGCTTTACTGACAAGACACATGGCACTGCGCTGATATAGTCCATGCCCTGGGAGCTGGAGGAGCCATATGAGAACCCTGCCAGTGCTGAGATGCTTATACCACCACTGGATCCACAAGACTTTGCACCCACCAGCCTGTGATCTTCCTGCATTCAGTGTCATTGCATGTGGTCCGTAAGTCTGAAGAGGACTTTATAGACTGGTATCAGACATATGTGCTAATATTGGACTTATGGACTTGATCTGGACTGGGCTGGGGCATTTTCTCAATATTCAATTGCTCTTGTATATAAAGCTCTTTCTTATACACATATGAGTGTCTCTCTATAAATTTTATTTCTCTAGTCCACCCCGACTAACACAGGTATCCACTCAGACCCCCTGCATTTACATCAATATGATTAGTTTTTTTGGGGGGGTCTTCTGATGCCTGATACCTGATCCTGTCAACACCTCCTGATCACACAGGCTGGTGTGCTTCTTCCATGTGGACTTTGTGGCTTCCCTGTTAATGGCCACTTGTTTAACTTCAAGCCTTTAAGACCTCAGACAATATATCTTTTGATAGCCAGGCACCATCAGCTTTCTTCAGCACATTTGCTTATGCACCCATTTTGATTTCAGCGATGTGTCAGGAAGGTGAGCATCACAGAATACCAGGGTGTTCTTGTGTTGAGGGAGTACTTAAGTCGAGGTCCAATGTCCATCTGCTACCTTAATATTTAACATATAAATTTATGTACATAGACCTATATCCCTATTGTGTTAGTTGGGTAGACTAGAGAAACAAATCCATGGACACACATGTGTATAAGAAAGAGATTTATATACAAGAGCAATTGAACATTGAGAAAACATCCCAGCCCAGTCCAGATCAAGTCCTTAAGTCCAATATTAGCCCATATGTCAGAAACCAATCTATAAAGTCCTCTTCAGACTCATGAAACACATGCAATGACACCGGCAGAAAACCAGACACCTGAGGTGCTTTCCGAGGGCAAAGGTAATACAGAATGGGTAGTAGAAGAAGGTAGTTCTACCTATGAATTACGACTATGTGATCAATTGCAAAAGCGAGGTTTGTGAGTATTAGTGTATTTTCTTCATATGTACTTATTGAATCTTTTCTTTGTTCATGTATGATATATCAGATACAATTGAACTTGGTGTGTTTTCATTTATATGTATGATAGATGTTTGATGTCAAGTATAAGTGTGATTTTATTAATGTCTGGAAATTATATATGGCTAAAGAATTGTGTACAGATGCCAAGTTGGCAAGGGGTGGATTGTGATAGGTAGGTTTGTTGTGCCAACATGGCCAATGAACACATGTGAGATTAGAGCAGAGAGATAAATGTCTCTGTGAGCCTCACCTTTCTCTCTTGCTCTTTGATCATCGGACCAGTGTGCGGCTGCCTTGCTTGTTCTGTGCCTCCATTTGCAAGCTACA